TTGCCCCACCACTTCCCCCTAGGAAACTCACTCTTTAGTGCTAAATTGGAACAAACAGCAATCCACAGAAAACCTGATTGCTGTTTATTCCGATTCTGCGCTAAAGATCGGGTTCCCCTGGGCAAAAGCAATGGGGCAAACAGAGGTGTGGATAAGCCCTAGTGAGATGGGCATAGGAGGCAGTTTTACAGTGGTTCTGATCCTATCACCAGGATCAGAGAATAGCATTGGCTGTCTGTCTTTTGGCACCATCTTAACAGTGCCTGCTGGAGATCTTCTTTCAACAAGCCTTTAAGTGGAGATATGTATGCCAGCTTGCATCTGCATTCAAACTATTTTTAAGCACTTTATATATAAAATTAAATGTTTAGGTTGCTAGTCCTACTCAGAGTGGGCCTATTGAAATTCATGAATCTAAGGTAGCCACGTTCATTAACTTCAATGAGTCTCCAAAGACCAGCATTGGAAACAAACCTTCCTTCCTTTTTATATGTGGAACTGTTTTTAACAGCTTTTACACTTTTCTTGTGGTTTGTCACTGTTTTGTTTTATAATGGTGTATTTTATCGTTGTAATTCTTCCTGGGCCTTTGTGGTACAGAGTGGATAAGAATTCATATAAATAAGTAAAGTATTTGCAACAATATCACGCTGTTCTTTCTATGGGGTTTCCCCAGGGTGTGCTCTTAACTGAATCCACACATGGCAGGGCTCACTGTAAACGCTTTCCAAATTGTTTTAACCATGCAGCTTGTCAGTATGTGTGCAATTTATCTTATTCTGGCTTAACAAGTCCAGATCCATATATCTACTTTTACAAGAGTGGGTGAAGTCGAGAAGTGAATGAGATGGCTTGGTCTCCATTCTGCTTCCTTTTTACAAGTCACTCAGCAACTAGTGAGAACCATAATTAATTGGAAGATGCAATTGGCTTGGTAAATACATCTCATTCTACATGAATCCTGGATAATACTATACTTTGGACTCAATCCAATCCTGAACTATGATTAGGCAAGCCTAATTCGTTTTTACAAACTCCCCTTCTGTTCCCATGAAAGAATAATCCATGGAAGACACTACCATTTAAGAGCCCATTATAATACAGGGGGCTTGCAGATGGGTGTTTACTGCAGGCTTGGCACATCCATACATCATCTGAATCAAAATGCCAACCCATATTTTCTCAGATATCAAGCTTCTGTCTGGAAACAACCAGTGGTCAAGAACATGCGGCTCAGTGGTGCAAATCTCACCTAGGACACACTAAGGGTGGAGTTTAATCAGAGCAGATGCATAGAAGTCATTGAACAGCATAATTAATTTATTAATTAATTTATTTATTAATTTATTCATTAATTCTAAGCAACACTTAAGTGAAAGATCACCCTAAGTATTAAAACACTTGACATACCTGGGTCTTGCTTTAGCCCTTAGAAAGAGCTGGTAGAATTTTGCCCTTCAAACAATACCATTTTATCTCCAGAAAGCTCCTTTTCAAAATAAATGTCTGCTAAAAAACAGAGATTTTTCTCAATTACATTATCTGATGGAGAACACAAAGCTAAGGGACAACACATCAGGAATATTTCTAATAGCTGAATCCCATCCATCAGAAGGCTTTGCCACTGAGTTCTATGGGATTTCCTCCCAGGTAACTGTGCACTGGCTTGCAGCCTAAATAACTATGAAGCATTAGTCCAGTACAGGCATCCCCAGCCTGCAGCCCTCCAGATGTTTTGGCCTACAACTCCCATGATCCCTAGCTAACAGGACCAGTGGTCAGGGATGATGGGAATTGTAGTCCAAAATATCTGGAGGGCCAAAGGTTGGGAATGTCTGGTCCAGTAGCTGGCTATGAACTGCTAATCTGTATCCTTGACTTTTCCACCTTTCTTTAATGCTATTTTGAAACCCAAGACAGTTCCTGCCCCAGACTATTGGCGTAACAAGCTCTGGATGCATGTGTGAGTAGCATAACATGCCACACTAGCATCAAGCTGCTGGAAAACGCAAGGGCTGGCATGGGGAAGAACCTTCACACAGAAAGTCTCTTGGCTTTTTTGTGCTGCCATGTTAAGTGCAGGATGAAGCTGCAGTGCTGTGGCTTCCAGCCTGGCAGAGGAACAGAAGAACCCATCTCACTAGTCACCACCACCCCACAAACACACCTATTTAGATTTAATGCAACCAGCTACCACTCCTCATTATGCCTACTACCCAGGATTTGAGTAAATGTTACTACACATCTGATCATTTGCTTGTTACTGCACTTCTGATCTATTCAGCTGCATGTCCAAAAAGTGACAGCCACTGAACCACTTTTCTTGCCTCCCATCTTCCTGCATCTCACCTCCATTAGGTCAGAGGCTTATAAAGTGAGCCAGGGCGGTTTGGATGACTTCCTGCTTATTACACTCCTTATCTTTTCCGGCCTCTTTATCTTTTGACACACTGATGCTAAGCTTATGTAAGCCTTTTATTACTGAGTTAAGAGACTAGTGCTGTGAATTTTGACCAGCTTAATTACTGTGAGTGAGCAAGCCTATTACTGGGCAACAGAGTGGACAAAAAACAAAAACACCTATGTCCCCTGATGGCTGGGAATCTCTCCCCAGTCTTTGGATGGCGACCTCCTCCTAAGGGGAGGGTCAGCGAAACAGTTTGAAGCTGATTTTGCAGCCTGAATTTTAGTTAGAACTTAACAGAACTCGAGTGCAGCCTTGAATTTGCTGAGGTCCAAATTCTCTGGTTTGAAGATACAGCTGTGGAATGCCCTCCCATCAGATGTCAAACAGATAAACAACTACAGTGGTACCTCAGGTTACAGACAGTTCAGGTTACAGACTCTGCTAACCCAGAAATAGTACCTCAGGTTAAGAACTTTGCTTCAGGGTGAGAACAGAAATCGCATGGCGGTGGAGCGGCGGCAGTGGGAGGCTCCATTAGCTAAAGTGGTGCTTCAGGTTAAGAACGGACCTCTAGAACAAATTAAGTTCTTAACCCGAGGTACCACTGTATTTGACTTTTAGAAGACATCTAAAGGCAGTCCTGTTCAGGGAAGTGTTTAATGGTTGCCGTTTTATTGTGTTTTTAATATTTTGCTGGGTGACACCGAGTCAGATGGGTGGTTGCTTTTTTAATCATTATTATTATTAGCAGAAAAATCAGAGGGGTAGAATCAAGTAGCTGCAATCACTGGTAAAATGCTAACTACTTCAGCACGTTACTGTTGTAGTTCTAGAAAGAGCATTTCTGTCCACATAAGCCTCCTCATTGGGTGAAAGATTCCTAAATTGCAGTTTGGACTATATGGCACCTTCCAACTATGATTATATGTAGGTACCAGTAATTGCAAAGGCAAAAGTATTTCAATGCTGGGATAACTGGGACATTACTATAAATTAAGGCATCAGTCCTTTAAATTAGTTGTCACATAGCTCCCTCTGCTGGCTTCATCCAGGTTTCAACCACAGCTAATTTCAGCCATTGTAATATTTACACAAAATTTTAATCCCCCCCCCCCCCAGGAAAAAGAAATTAGTAGGAAAATAAAAATAGCCTGAACTTGCTCACTGGTGCCAGAATGTATGGTTCTAAGAAGTGATAATTCTCATCTTCAGATGTTGTAAAATAAAGATGTCATACGGTTTATTTTGCTTTGCAAAATAAAGCCCTCGCAAAGAGATACTGCAAACAGCCTGCTCATAATTGTTTAGGAACTGATTCTTTTCCTGTGTCAGAGAGGGCTAAATGCTGTAATGACGGAGTATTTACTAGGGGCGTGCAAACAATTCAGGTAACTCCCAAATGAAGAACCAAAGTGGGGCTGCTTCAGGAAGATTCTGGGCTTGTCTGAGCCAAAGGGGCATCTTTTCAATGTATCCTGAATGGAGGACTGATGAAACACTTCAGAGATTGAGATGTTAAACTATGGCATTGTGTCTCCAGAAATTGAAGCATTTCCCCCAAGGGTTGACATAACACCAGGATGTGGAGAGCTCTTTTGTGACAGACACGCCTAACTTGAAATCAGAGGGAATTATTATACCAAGGCTCTCCAATCACAGTGCTTTGGTGAAGGGATGTCAAATTTATCTCCTTGCTCCTTTCTGTCCTGTGGTCTATGCTTGAAATTTTGCAGGTTACTTTCCATGGTGCAATTTTTTTATGTGTGCTGTTTCCATTAAAAACCATTGCACACCAAACTAAGTGGTTGCAATGTATAGTTCTCCTCCACAAAAATCAACTTTAAATGTGCCTACCACAAAGCCCCCTGGCACTATTTGTCTGTGACTGGGCAGGTTTCTTACCGGAGGGGCACCTTTCCCAAACTGTAAAATGGTTTCCCCCTTTCAGAAAAACCACTGGAGTGATCCTTACGCAATTTAGCAGCATACATTCCTTCAGAAGAGTCTGTCATACCTGTAGATTTCATCCAATCCCCCCCCCAAAAAAACTATAGATGTTTCTCTTTTTTAAAAAAATTATCAAATTGTAAAGGTGCCCAGCACAAAAAATCCCTGACCAATTTTTCTGATTTGGCAGGCTATATGCACGCTGGAGGGGCTACTTTGCCTAAAGATGTTATCTAATTCTGTCAAAAGAAAAGGAGAAAAAAATCCTCAGCCACTTTTGATTAACGATAGGGGGGCTTAAGCTTCATTTTTCTAAAGCAAATTTGGACCCAGAACTCACTCAGACAAACAATGAAGCAGTCCAATTTCCAAATAAATGCCAAATCAGGATGAAAACCAAATTTTGTGGCTGGTTCAAAACCTTAATATTTACACACAATGAACAAGCAACAAAGTCTGCCTGGCTTTTTGACCCAAAGTTCGAAATATGTGCAATTAGAAATTGAAATGTGATCTTGTACTGTTTAGCTGAGCCCCAGGACATTTAGTACTTAATTATTTGATACAAAATGATGCTCCTAAATGCAAATCTATGAGAGAAAAACAAATAAATCTGCAATGTTCATGGGATTTTTTTTCATTTTTTATGTACAGAAATACTAATTTGAAGCCAAACAACATTGAAATCATCTTCACACAATTTATTGAAGGGGCAATGTGAGCAAGAAGAGTTCTTTGCATTGTTTTAATGATAAAATCCTTCTCAATTCCTGATAAAGACATCACGGGCAAATATACCTGTATTGTGCTTTTATATGAGGGTCAAATAGTCCAGTAATTCTCTTCTGTACAAATATACAATATTTACATTGCTGTCATATGGCAATATGCAGATTTACAATAAGGATGTAAACAATAAAATTTAGAAGCTGCAATATGATTATCACATAACTCTGTAAAACAAACTATGGTTTTGGATATTCCAATCCAGAGGAATTCCCAGATATTATTTAGCAATATGCTAGAATTTCAATGGGGAAGATGAGACATTGGATCACATGCAACTTGGAAGTCGTAATGGTCTAAGGAGTCAAGTAACAGGTAATATTTCAAAAGCAATGCGAATACACCTAGTGCACTATGATACAGGGTCCCTTGCATGCAGATGATTACTGAGTTAAATATATTCTAATACTGAACTAAAGGGGCTAAAGTGGAACATGTTGCACATTCATCCATAACTTCCACAGGGTAAAAATAAAAAAAAAGTCCACCTGGGATTCAAGAATAAAGTTATATAATCCTTCAGAAAATTTCTTACTCCTTTGTATGTCTTTCATATTTAGTACATATTCTGAGTTGTGATACCCAAGGGTCAAGGGAATGTTTTAAGCACAATTCATAATTTCTGTTTGGAAAGGCTCAGCCTTCTTTCCCTAGTTGTTGAGAAATGAACAAGGCCACCCAAACTCTGCAAATCTATACAATTAATCTGGATAGAAGAATTTGATATGAAGGATTTATTAGTCCAATATTGTTTTGCTACTGCAGACTTCTGTTGAAAGCAGTAAGCCTCTTGAATGGGCTGGGCACGCATCAAGTGAGAAACTCAAGGCTGAGATGCTCAATGAGAAATCATATCCTTGTTGTCTTGTGGTTTTCCATCCTTTCCCGATTTCAGCAATATGCAATACAACTCAGTTTATCCACTGGACAAAATGTGCTTGCAGATACATTAGACATTGAAATGTATAACACAGGGGTGTTCCCTAAAATGGCACAAAGTAGGCAATATAACTAATTTATGCTAACATCAAATTTCTAATAGCTCTTGGTCCAAGCAGAACACTATCACTTCAGCTATTTGGGGCAACAAATGGTGCAACTGTTTTATCCAAGTGGTGGACTGCCAAGTTCATTCATCTCTTTGCAACACAACCATAATTTCAGAAGATTAGAAGTTATGTCAGAGATCAGATAGTTTGTCATGATTGTTTCACACTGTCTTTCAGTAACAGTCATTTTCTTGACCCGCAGTGGATGCTGTCATGTTCAAGAATGGACACTTTATAATAAAGTGAGCATTTATTCTTTTCAGCACTATCATATTGGCAGGTCATTTGGACACATGCTATTTTCTTCAGTAGTATCATTCCATTTCTCACTATTGTATGTTGAAAGGAATAAGTTTTCTAGCTGTGCCAGGAATTCTTCAGCGATGAAACTATTTGCCACATTGCCTAGAGTCTTCCTCATACACTCCAACAACTAGTTTCAGATTGAAGAAAAAACAAACAAACCAGCATTGAAGCAACATTTAGGAAGAAAAGCCATCACAAATCTATTGGTATTCCTTAATCCAAATACCCTGAGGACTTACTTTATATATGTTAGCACTAACTGAACTGTATCTGACCACTTACACAGATCTTTCATTCATTCAATAGCTGGCTTCTGTTCAAAGAACTGTCAAAGCAGTGAATAATCCCACAGTGTGTTAACACATTTGAACTTTAAAATTTACTAACATGTATTATTATATGTGCAACTTGTCACAAACGTTCATAACTCTATACGTATCCTTTACCAAAATCCATGCAAAAGTGACCAAAGCAAAAGAACCCCTCTAATTTGTGGATATCTCTATCTACAGTTCAAGAAAAACAATTCCGCACAGCACCATCTAAAATTTGTTTTTCACTGCCTATGTAAGACACCCACTCCATGATGCCCATGACAGGAAAACATCCTACTCTGTAGCCCATCCTCAAATGTAACAATTAAATCAAAAGACATTTTTATGAAAACATTTTGAAATCCATTTGCAAAAACCAAAACAACAAGCTACCCTGAAGGAAAACACAAAACATTAGTAGCCAACAAACATTAGTTACATTTGGGTAGCTTTTGCATATGCCTGTTGCTTCCAACCCAGTTCCACAAATATTTAAGATTTCTATTATAAGTAGACAAGATTAGGCTTCTTTAGGTATTTATAGGCAAGAAGCAAATATATTTACAATTATTACCTTCTGCAGACAGGTCAAATCGGAATCTCTATGGAAGATTTTATCCATGGGCACCCAGCTGTTGGAAAAATATGACAACACTGTATCAGTCGATATATAAAAACATTCTCTATTGAAATGCAAACACAGTAATTTGGAACTGGCTTACTACAAGATTCTGAAATGCAAGCAGCCACACACCTATGAGACATCCTGTATTTTTCAATTATCCATCGTGTTTTTTCCAGTACTAATTCCCATTTAGGTTCTTCCAACATCTGTCCCACTTCAAACTTGTATGGCAGGCCTGCAAGCCATTAAAACATATTATGCATGGAATATTACACTTCCTACTTTTTGACATGCGTATCTTACATCCCTGGGAAGAGCAAAAATATGCGCACATAAAACAGCAATGTACCGTCAAGAGTGAGCCCATTTAGCCTAGTTGTAGCCTGAAGTAGCTTCAATCCCAGAATTAGGTTTAACAGCAATATTTTGTGAAGGAGAAATATTTGTTTGAATGCAAAGTTAGACTGATCTGAAGCACGGGACAACTCCTGTTCATTCAAAGTGCTCTGGACTTCTATTTCTGGTCCTGTATCACATGACAAATGTTCTGTTTAAGCCAGGCTCCCCCAACTGGGTGCCCTCCATATGTTTTGTACTATAACTTCCATTACTCCAGGGCTGATAGGAGTTGTAGTTCAATGTATCTGGAGAGCACTAGGCTGCTTCTCTCTCTCTCTCATATGCACAACATTTTGCACATGTAAACCTTCAATGGCTGAAATTGACAATACTTTTTTTCCTCCCCCTCTTTCCACAGCAAGATAAATCTGCATTTTCATTTATTCAAACTGCAATTGTCCTCATGCTCAGGATATCTGCTAAGGAAAGTATTAATGATAATATCAAAAGAGAGATTTCAAGATCGGCTTTGTCACTGAGAGATTAAAGACTAACTTTGGCACTTTTAGATTTTCACCCTATTCCATATGATCAGGTTTCTATTTTTAAAAGATTTTTTTCCTCACATTTATCAACATTGCTTTGTGAATAATAGTATTTTCTAAGATTCAGGTTTAACTAGATTATTCAAATTCAGAAAAAAGTGATTCCTATACTTATAGACTCTCAGACGTTTCATGGATACTGATGAGGGCCCCCCCCCCCCACTTATAGGATAAGCAATTTGCAGCATAGAGGAAAGTTGTATACAAGTAGAAACGAGGAGCACAAGGTTAAACAGTTGGGCCAGATTGATTGTAACAGGACCTAGTGTTCAGGGAATAGTCTCAAATCTACGTGCTGCCTCCACCCCCGCACCGTGTGCATGAATTTCCTTCCCTACCTGACCCTTCTATCTACAAGTGGTCATTATTAACTCTAGTTAAAACAAACCCAGGAGCGTTCTTAATCGACCTTTCAGCATCTGGGTAGAGGGGGGTTGGGGAATTTGCATGCATGAGGTGGGTGCGAGGAATTTGTGCAATCTGAACCCCTAAATCCTGATTCTACTGTTCCATCCCAACCAGGCCATGGAATGCTACACACAGAAGGCAATATCCATCTACTGTAGCGTAGATTCATTGCAGTCAGTGAACATAAATTACTTAGATTCACTAATCTCAACAATTCCACTCTAATGTTGTGTATCACCCCAAAACATTTCTCTTCTTAACCGAGTGATTCAAATGAATCCTTGATTCCTGATCATCTTGTGCTATTGCTAGTTTCATTTCTTAAAAGACACCCTTACCACAACCCCCTAAAACATGCAGTGATTTCTTACTGTGAGGATCAACATTATGATCACCGTTCAGTAAAACACCCCCATATTATTTACAGTGCAAATCTTATATTCCAAAAGTTTCTAATCCTAACCATGTATACATGGAAGGAAGTCCTACTGGATCCAATGGGACTTACTTGGAAGTAACCAGGGTTAGGGCTGCAGCCTATTGTATTATATTTATTCTTTCTTTTAAATTATATATATTATTTCCCTTGTCTTACCAGTCACCAAATTTTTCCTCTTTCAAAATGTAACTTAAATGATGAAGATAGGAAGCAAATAGGCATTAGGAAAAATTTTTTTAAAACACTTACGATACGATCCATCAGGACTGGTCTCATCACTGATTACCAGACAAGTAATCTGGGAATGCGGAAGAGGGTTATTTCGATTATAAGGACTTATGATCACACCAACAAACATTGACCCACCTCTGGAGAAATAGCTCTGTATGGAAAAATATAAAAGGGCAATAATTTTATTTTTTTTAAGTTTGTGTCTATGAAAATAATCAAGAATGCAATGCAAACTTGCTTTCTGAAAAACCCCCATCTTACAATTAGAAGTAGTCACTTTAAAGTAAAGGGTAAATAAATTATTTGGATAGTACTTTGAAATATTACCATTTACATCATTTCTAGTTTTCCTTTGCTCAACATTATTAAATTAAACATCAATAAAGCAAAGTCAGTCCCCTTGTACACACACACACACACACATCGGGGGGGGGGGGTTGTTACCTGGTATTTTGCCTGCGTATCAATATCTCGTATCGAAGGATTAGGGTCAAAGGCAGGGTGAGAATGATACCACCCAATAATACTGTAACCTCTAGCAGCAAGTGTCTCCGATGCCTGTGTTTGAGATACTGGGTCCATCTCACACTGCAATCCTGTACTGAGGCTATTGCACGGTTCTGCTGCGCAAATCTGTAATAAATCAATCAGATTGGAGGCCTTACAATTTAGTGGTGGTGTAGTGTTTGATTCTTGAGGACAATACACATAGGGAGCAATCTGACAGAGCAAGATCTGCTGGGATGAACAGGGCTAGGATCCAGCGTAACGTCACCTGAGCCAGGAGGTTCTCAGGGTAGTCAAGGGTATGCTGACATAACTCCTCATCCTTGTGGTCCAGCAATACATACGCTGGCATATTCCCCCCAGAGCCTGGCTGAACTTAGGCTGGCGTGACAAGAGATTACAGTTAAGACAGCAAAAAGGGTGATAGAACTCAAACACTATCTTAAAGGCTTGTTTCCCCGCTGCTACACTTAAGCCAACTTAGCCATATGTAGCCCTGCTCCTGAAGAGAGTTTAAATCTGGTATACTTTTCACCACCTTCCTTCGAACCAGCTTCTTGGGTGTAGGATTGCTCCATTGTTCAAAAAACTAACAGCATCCTGAATTCCATAATGACTACAGGAAAAGTATTACAAGGATATAGTAAGATGCTTAAAGGATGCTTATATACGGATGTTGCAATAGCCTCTGGGGTCAAAGATACCCCCATAAATCATAAGAAAATCCTGTTTCCCTCTAATCCCTCTGGGCACATGAGCAGGTACTAAGATCTGGTCCTTGTAATAGGCTGGTTTAATGCCTATTGCACTAGACTAGATTAAGGCTGTTTTGTGTTTATGTTTATTACTGCAGGTTACAAACATATTAAACCATAAATATTATAATAATGTCCCAAAGGAGCAGATTAAACCAGATAAAAATAGTAAGAAAGTTTTTAAAAATACTGTAGTTTCAAAAAAAAAAAATTCCACAAAACCTTGGAAAAGTAGATGGGTCTTAGCTGGTGCTGAAAGGGCAATACAGTGAGCACCAGCCATTCTTCTGAGGCGAAGGGCATTCCACATTCTGGGAGCCATCCCAGATAAGGCCTGCTCTCATGTTACTGAATTTTAAACATGCATGATACTTACTTCAACTATTCCATCAGTTTCAGAGTATCTTCCACCTAGCAGTCCTATTACTTCTGCCATTGAAACATGGGCATGCTAAAGACATAAGAAAAAATCATTTGGATATCTTGAAGAGTTCTGTAGTGAAACCATGTATGAGAACCCCGCCCACCCACACCCTGAAAGCTCTTCATACCTCTGCTTTACCACCAATAATTACACAGATGCTGCACTTAGGTCCAACCCTAAACTGTGGTTTAGTGCTATGTGAATGAATGAGCTTTATGTACTCCCTCCCTTTTCCTGGGGCTAAACCAGGTCATTACCTGGGCATTATGGCCAGTGCTGATAAAAATCAAGTCAGTTGCTCCCAAAAGGGACTGTGAAGATCAAAAATTACACAGCCACCTTTACTTAGTAGGAAAAGCACTAAATAGCGGCCTTGAGGCTCTAACAGTTACTTATGGATCAACAACAGATAAAAAAGGCAAAAGTACAAATATTCCCCCATTTCAGCAAGAAAGGTGTTAAAAGATAGAATTTACTTTTCCCTTGCAGGTAATTAACATTATGAGTTTCTCTTCTGGCATGACTAATCACCCATGCTCATAAGAAGCATTATAATGTGTAGCAGCATCACATTTATGACAGCTTATTCCCATACCTGGTTAAGGATTTTCTCAGGGTTATCATCTTCTACAGAAACAAGAAATTATGGGCTGTTACAGCCATCACCCATGCCTTAGGTAAGCCAGAAAAAAAAGCTTGGCCAGTTAAAGGGTGCAGATGGTACAGCAGTAGTCTCACAGCAGCAATATGGAGGGTAATTGTGGTTTTGGCATGGATCAAGCCTTCCCAAACAAATCAGGAAAGTGGGTATAAAGTACAGTTCTTACCAAATCCATGATGAGAAGTGCCTCTGCAGCTACCATTACTTGGAATGGTTCCTGAAAAGATAAAAATGATAAGGAAAGCCTGCTTAAGTAAACAAAGGTGTGCTCTTGCTTATTTATTAACTCATACTTACTGGTTTTTCTTCTGTGAAGGAACAGCAAGGGATCAGCTGAAAGGGATCAAATGAACTATAAAATGAAAGAAAATTGCTCTGAAAATATACAGTTAATAAAGGGGGAAACTCATTTTTTTAAAAAAATCACATTTTTTCTATTGAAGTTTTAATTACTATATACAAAACTAGCAAATTGTTTGAACTTGTAGACTTATATGGTAGTTTTTAAGAGTCACAGGAGTACCTCCGCATTTGTGAACTGCGCTTTGGGCTCAGTGAAGTAGTACAACGTAAGTGTGCTGATAAGCAGGAATCATACTGAAAGTAACATAAGCTACTTTTTCTAAAATATGTTGTAGGCATATACAAAAAATGTAAACCTTTTGGGCTGCCTTTGTCCTTTAGATGCTTTTGGTGGTTTCAGCTTCTCCTCTTCTCTCCTCTTAGCTAGATCCTCAGCAGAAAGGTGCTAAAAACAAAACATCTTGATTAGTTAAAACAGCCTGAAGCTCAATCAATGGGCTTAAGCACAATGAACCTCAGTTGTCCTGAATTTAGTAGGTGCCCACAGCTGCTGTCACTGTTAAGATGGGCCTCAGGGAACCAAGACCAAAAGTAGCTGTTTTGTTTGTTTTTATAAAAAGCTGGAAGAACTTCCTTCACTTTCCCATTTACTGTTCCAAGTTCAAGCAAACTATGAAACAGCATAAGATTTTGTCACTCCACCTCTAGACAAGGGACTTCTTTCCAGCCTGCTACATGGTGCTTCTGTTAAGACCACTGTATAGCTATAGTATGTCAAACTGAAAGGTTCACCTACTTCAGCACTCAGAGTAGCCAACTAGATGTTCTAGGGAAGCTCGTGAAACAGGAAATATGGCTTCTCAGTGGTATTTGACATTAAGAAGTATGCTGGTTCAAAACACAGAAGTCCCAAACCCAAGTATTTTATCTCCTATTTACATGAAGACCTTTCATTCACGAACTTTAGATATATTTACTTATGCTACTGCTGCAACAGTTTATTCCACACATTACATGCAGCACATCATGCTTTTGCCTGTTTTAAACCTACAGCATATAAATTTCATAGATGACCTCTGGTTCTGAACTTTAGGTCAATGGCTCTTGAATCATGTTTTAGGACACAATAACAAAATGATCAAGGAGCTGGAGCAACTTCCCTAAGAGGAAAGGTTACAAAACGTGGAACTTTTTAGTTTATAAAAAGGCAAGTAATGGGGGACATGACAGAGGTCAGCACCAGATTTAGGGCTCACCCAAAGAGGCTCATGCAGTTCTTACCTTCATGGGATTTTGACATCAGGCAAAGGTTTTTTTTATTTCCCCTGACTTCTCAATCCTCTATCCTTTTATTTTGCAATATTTTAATATTTTTACTCAAGTTTAAATTTTTGTAAGCCACCCTGAAACCTCAAAGGGTGGGTTACAGTTACAGCTCACATAATTAAATGAAAGCGTATCACTGCAGGAACAGCTTGACTTTCACAAGGAGTTGAAAAATATCAGAAAAGTTTAAAAGTGATGTTACCTCAAAAGTCTGTCCTTCCAAATCTTTGGCATCACACCAGTTTCCCCAGGGGTCTCTGACGCGCCGTCTCCTTGTACGCTGTGGCAAACAGAAACATATGTGCAGGTCTGTTCAAAGGCATAAAGTCAGCAGTATTTGTATAAGCAATTCACATATAGTTGTGGAGTAGCAGAATGTGGATTGGCATGCTCACAATAAGCTTCTGAATACAGATCACTGGTCTACTTGGACTGGTCTGAACCTACTTTTTGAACTTGTGTCAAGGTCAAGCCATCAGCCACCTAGGCCCGTAGTGAATGTTGCATTATTATACTCCAAAATGATGTGGGCCAATTCCAAGCTGGCAATAGATAGCGTAGAAACATGCTTTATAAGAATTAAAGAACCAGCACTGCCAATTATTCACTCCATAAAGCACAGCATCCAGTACTTCTGCTTCTATGCACCAATCATTTGGAAGGTTTCTACTTATGGTAGAGATACTCAGTGGAGCTTTAAGAACCCCTGAAAGTATATGCTGAATCAAAGTAAAAATGCGTCTGATTACAGCTGCGGGACATACACATAAACACACATCTTGCATATACATTTCTTTCCTATTCACTTGATTTCTTAAAAGACGGGTTATTTGGTTTCAGTCAATGAACTGAAATGCACTGGATCCAAAGAGCCACTTTTTATGTATTTGACAAACATTCTTTCCTGAAAGCAATGTATAATTTAAAAAGCCCCATACAAAAATAGTAGAATGTGCGGAACTCCAATACATAATTTATTTAGCCCTGAAAGATCTAAGCAATGTTTGTGAGAAAAGGTACTCTAGTTGGCTTCCCAATCAGCAATACTATAGTCACACACTGCAGGAATGTGATCAAAAGGCAGTAAAAGAAGAAATGTGACACATAAATTACATTTCCATCATACCATAGACTGTAGACGCTGCACAAGCTGATATGCTTCTATAGTGTCTTTGCCTTCTCTGGGTCGAATTTTGTCAACTTGCTGTGGTCTATTATAAATCGCCTGCTCTGTAGAAATGAGCAAGAGAACTAACTCAGATGCATAAAAAGTGAGCTACCTGGTTGTCACAAGCAAATGATGGCTTTACTCTTGAATGTCTTTAAATTCTAATCACCAAGAGTTAAAGATAAATCTTTTAAATTGTTCTTCACAACATGAAAGTCATGACATGACTAAGTAAGTGTCTCACAAACAAAACAATGATGCCATCTAATGTTTAGCCACCTGAGCCAACCAAGCCAAGGGAGCTACACAGACAACACTAGAAGGAAAATTAAGAGAAAAAAACATGAATGATATCAGGTGGCAGTGGCATTTAGGCCATATTGAACGATACACTATTTCAGCAGGTGTCTCTTAGCTTCCATTCACTGAATATATAGTACCGGTCCAATTATTTCTCAAAGCTTTAAAAGAAAAGAAAGAAAAGAAAGGACAAAGAGTTCTCCTTTTTTAATGTGAAAAAATATTGAATGGCTTTATCCAAAAATGAAGCTAGGCCCAAATGGTGTAGATCAGGTGGCTGGGTCCCTCAGGGACGTTTAGTAAGTCTTCTGCACAGTGTGAACTAGCATGCTGCTTGTTCACAGTATTCAAACCATAGTTTGTTTAGAAGCATTACTTAATGTGACAAGCAAACTGGGTCACATAATGGCAGAGCTTCCCCTTGCCATTCAACTATGGTCCATTCAGCTATGTTCAGTTCTTGGCTGACCCAGTACAACTTCTTTCTGTGGTTCTTGGGGGGATCCATTTGACCATGACTGGAGGATAGGTTTGAGCTTAAAGCTTTGCTTTTTGTTCTAGCTTTCCCACAGACAAGGAACTTGAGTAAGAAAAGAGGGAAAGGAAGGGTTTCTGAAGCCTATCAGAGGGGAATGGACGCAAAAACAAAACTACATGTAGATTCTGAGCATCTATGCAGGCCGTCAAAGGAGGTTAGCTGGCCACAGTCTGCTGCCATGGCAACAGATCTAACACTTAGGAAGACTAATCATCACCTGTCCAAGAAAGTCACATGTTTCTAGACACCACTACAGCCATGGTAACCATAAGAGACTCAAAAGAACAGGAATATTAAACAGTAGTCCTCCCCACCCTTTTTTTTACATAAGCGCATTTTTAAAAAAGGTATATAGGCTACAACGTAGAAGGACAATATTTGGGGTAAAATTTATAATTAAGAGAAAGTGAAGGATTGCCACATGGCACCTTCTGGACTAACTTCTGCCTCAACCAACAACCACACTGGTCATGTTTTCCATCTCTTTCTGTTCAGAATTTTAAAATATATGTTTCTAAATGTGCCCCCATATACTTTCCATGGCCCATTTATTTTCTGGTTTTAGTTTCTATATAGTAAATGTGTTATGATAGAACTGATGAACGTTGCAAGCAATTTTGGAGACTTGTGAAAAAGCAGAATAAAAATATAAAACTAAATGAACAGACTGAAGTTTTCTTCCTACCACAACCAAAGTTAATTGCTCCTATTAGCTCCAGGTATGTGTGTATCCGTCCTATACAGTTAACATCCCCACAGTTCTTCAGCCCTGGGCGTACTGAAGTCTTGTTCAGATATTTTGGTTTGATTCTTTCCCTATAATAAAAGACCACCACAAATGATAAAATAAAGCATTACCTGGGCAATTAAGTTAGCAGCATTTGATATTTCTTGATGTACCCCATTAGTGGGAGTAGTAAGAGTTCATTAAACATGAACCATTCCACCCATGCAGAGATTTGCCCACCTGGGTCAGAACTCGTCTCTGATGGGCTAAGCCAGAGCCTTATCTCCCAACCCCCCATGGGCCAAGTATTAACAAGTGGGCACAGCTGCCCACCTATCCATCACCTCATGTCAGATGTCCCATTTTTGACCACATGCTTTGAAATCAAACCATGAAGGTAAAGGCAATGCATTATGTGAGCCCCGACAGTCAGCTACTTTCCTTGTCTTGCTGTGTGCAGGGCTTTTTTCATGCCTCATACATGACATCATATATGACATCAGGTGTAGGACATGTGGGTGTGGCTTGGCCAACACAGCCTTATGGGCTAAATGACGAGGGTCTGGCAGGTTCCCTACTTTGGGGGCTAAGCAAGCCAACACACACCATGTGTAATTTTGAGCTAACCAATGACCCACCCTGGTCAAGCTCCAAAGGAGGAAGATACAATCAACCAGCTGCAGTCAATATAGGAACTGGCTATCACTTGTCTGGAAAATGGATTGCGTAAAGAAAGGATATTAAATATCCACACCGTTGCTTTGCATACATTCCCCTTACTGTATAATTTTCCAACAGGCTTATAATGCTTACCACTGATCCAAAATATAGTTTCTAATTTTCAGGTAACGCTCAGGTGTTTTGGCTTGTCGTCCCACAAAAAATTCTGGTATTGCCTGCTTTTCTTCTTCTAGTACGGTTTGTCTATCTATTTCTACTTCTTGATCTGGTGGCTTGAGCTCCTCTGCATCTATCTGATTCTCCTCTTCCAGTTGGTTGGAAGGATGGAAAAGAAGACTGTTTTCAGTGAAGTCTGTCTGTTCTCTGCAGTTCTCTGGATTAGGAAACCAATCTGTATCATCAGAAATTCCTTTCCCATCACATTTCTGATTTTCTGAAACCATGGTTCCATGACCACTGTTCTCAGAGCATGACATTGCAGTCTCTAGACTCTCAACTGTGCTCTGCTCTGGCTTTGGAATTAATCTTGAAGTTAACAGAACTGAAGGCATGTGTCCAGCAGAATCCAAGATAGGCTCTGTCCAGCTGCTCTCGCCTGATGGACTTTTTGGAATATCTAATAAATCAGACTTTCCAGCTTCTTGCTGAGGTACATTGCAAAGTAGCTCATCCACCTCATCTGTAATATCTACTTCCTCATCATCTGATAATTTTTCAATTTTCACTGCATTTAGATTAGGGTCTGCCCGACCTCTTAAGAGTGCCCATGACACCACCTTCCCTTCATCATCCTGATTGACGCTGGGAGGAGGAACATTGACATACGGCTGCAGTTCCACTTTTTCTGAGCCATCCGTTTTTGCCTTAACAGAGAAGTACAGTAAAATGAGTTAAGTATGACAAAGTAATAAAGTCTAAATGAATAACAGTAGTTAAAAAGAGACATTTATTAATTTTAAGTCATGTTTGCTTGTTGTTTCCTTAAATTTCTTAATAAAAACTGGGCCCTCTTGCAAAAGACCTTTCATTTTGCCGATTTTGATGAATGACATTCACCAGATAATGACATTCACAAGGGAAACATACAGCTTATCAAACCAAATAATAATATGAATTTCTATCACAGCTTAGCATTTGCCAGCTAAAAACTTATCCAGCTGTTTTTGACTGTGGAAAAGAAAAATATGTGCTTCTTGCTTCAGACTTTAAGAAGCTTCTATTAAGTAAATTTAGCAGTACAGTATGGTGATGTACGGTAAGAGTCCTCCTCTTATGCACCTCAGCTGCTCATGTGTGAGCAAGGTTGATAGGGGATAACCCTGTGGATCTTTGTCGACAGTGGACAAAGAACAGTAGAGTTATCCCTTAAAGTTTAATCAAATTTAAAAGCCCTTTTTGAAAAATGCAGGCGGTCAATATTACAGGAAATTAAAAATGAAAGCAAAAATCATTTGCTGTGGGAGACTAACAAAGCAAGGTTCAAACGAAGTAATCCTTTTTTAGTTATCTGTTGGCAAGGTTTGCTACCAAGTCATTCTGTCAACTGAAAGTTGTTATATCAAGTTTACCTTGTTCTTAAAGTACTGCCTGGCAAAGCTCTTTACTTGGAGAACATTGCGACTTCCAATCATCATGGCAATTTTTGTCCATCTTCTGCCAAATTTAGCCTAATGGAAAATAAACATGACTTCAGCTCTTAAGTCAAAACAAATTAATTTATTATAGCATCTGAAGCTTCCACTGCTTTTTTTTACCCCATCTAAGTTACTTGCTCACTAAAAACCTCTTTCTCTCCCATTCTGGGGCAGCTTTTTAGCAAGAGAAATGTGTTAAGATAGCAGCTAAGAGTTTTGAGAAAGTGAAGGAAAAGGAAAAGTACCTGAGCCCTTGGCTAAAAAAATCCCATTAAGTAGCTAGGCACAAATACCATACATGAATAATCCACTTCATCTAAAAATTCATGTTGGCTTGCATAGGAATCTCATCCAGCATGAAACTATTTTAGTATTAAAATTCTTCACTAAAGGTACACTGTATAACACTTTGTTACATTTTAAAACAAGTAACATGCCATACAGTACAACTGTATCTTAAACACTTTTAATTACCTGAAGAACATTGAGATTTCCACTTCTAATGGCATTTACTACTAAAAACATTAACCACAGGAAATATTTACCAGTCCTTGTTCAAATAGTTCTTTTTCTTTCACTGTCCACTTTAGCGATCCACTAGCTGATTTTGTAGGTGAGCGTATCCTTACATAAAAATAAAGCAAAATGCCTTTGTGTAAAACAAAAAGATGCCAGGAAACGGTATCTAAACATACATTTTTTTTAAAAAAAATTAACCTCAATCACTAGAAATAACATATACATAAATATACTTCGAAACTGGGTATAGGCATTTTAGTCAACTGCCTAAATAGAAAACTAGATTTTTTAAAAGAAGCGGGAGGTAGCGTCAGGGTATGCAACAAAGAAACCAGCGTAAAAAATGCAATTTTTGCAGGGTTTTTTTTTTTTTTAAAAAAGCATCAACATGAGTCCTAAAGGTATTCAGATATTCCGTACAATCACTTAATACTTAGCCATGACATTAGAAGTACTTACGTTACTTTTGCTTCTTTCTTGTGGCTGTAAAGTGCAAAACAAGACAAAGCCAAGTTTGTAAAGATGGCGAGTCTTTTGAACACAAATTCCCCCCTCTTTGAAATATTACACTCCACATTACCTTTTTGTGCACTTTTTATCACTTTCCTTCAGTTCATGCCAAATTTTTTCTGGAAGGGATTTGCTAGATAGATAGTATCTGGAATTCATTAAGGATTTTCTAAAGTACTGTTAATGAGGTTCTTTGCATGCTACTGTTTTCATAATTAATAATTTATCATACCAAAAATCTGTAACTGCAGTCCAATGGATTGTAAGTTGTAGTACATGGATTAGCTATAAACTAACTGCAAACACTAGTAGAACATTATTTAATGCAGAGAAATACAAAGGTCAGAAGTAAGTCCAACTACGTCCAATGAGGCTTACTCCCTATTAAGCATGTCTACGATTACAGTTTAAAGCCAGAAAATTGATACCAACTGTGCAACTTTCAGTAACAGGTTGGAGGAAGAACAGAGAGAGAGAAATAGCAAGCACTCACCACAGTAACCTTGCAACTGATCTTTCAAAAGTTACAAGCCCATTTAAATAACAACAATATCAACATGAGAATTTAAAAGCTGTTTCTTGAAATAGGTCACTGTTCTTAAATTAATACAAGCTAAGCTCAGCTGTTTTGGGATTACAAAATTACAAACAAACAAAAGAAAACCAATAGAAAAACCAAAAGGGGCAAAATTTCCTGAAACTTATTTTAGACATTTGTCTTGGGATAACTTCAAAGAAATAAACACATGGAAAGGTTTTTTTGGGCTTCCGCGCTCTGCTTTAATGAAGGCAGCCCCCATGACATCAGGATATTGTTGGCAAATGAAAAACAAGGATGATTACGGGTAATCATCCTTGCAAATTCTGCCCAGGGATGGGGGGAATGGGCTTCACTTGCCGTTCGTCTCGGTACCTGGCTCTCGCTCTGGCATGGAATGCGGGGGGCAGGGAGGCGCTGAGAACAAAAGCACTTTGCCTGCAGAAAACCCTCTAATGCCTTTATTATTTACAAAGTGAACTGAATAACGCTAAGAGGGCTTGGAATTTAATTGGACGTATAGTTGCTCATATATCTTCAGTGGGAAGGAAGGGTGAAAGGAGTCTGCAAACTGCCAAGGAACTGATAAGGTTCTTTATTGAGTCATCTGCAGTTCGACAGACCACTCTCCAGGCTGAGAGGAAAAATGGTGACAAACAGTTTATTTACTGGGACAGAGCAACTTTTGCAGCAGTTGTTAAAGCTCTTGGTGCACAACAATGAAGAACGGGATGGAGCGATGCAGAAATTTCTGGAACAACAATGGGATATCAGCTCTGCCCAAGGCATGATGGATAACAGCCACAATTGGGGAAAAGAAAGACATAATATCTTACAAGGACAGGAAGAAGAACCACGGACAGAATAACTGCCATACACAGGAAGAACAAGGATATAGTTCTGAGTTCCTCACCTGCAGTTTTATAAATCATTTAATGTGTCATCACAAATAGAAGTTATTAATATTGCAGTTGTTGTATAAGGGATTATTATTACGACTGGAATGTTACTGAAACTAATAAGATTTTGGAATGCAGAAATAAAGAAACTCATCAAATTTAGCATGCGGAGGGTCACTTTATCTAAATTACATAATTTGGTATTTGAATGATTGGTATTAATACTTGTATTATAAATTGGTATTGTTATAATGAGGCTATTATTGGACTGTAATTGAAAACGAATAAATAACAAAGGACTACTCAAGGGGCACAAAAACCTGCTGACTGAGCCATGTTAATTCACCAGACCTTAATTATTCATCAGACACAAGTAGAAGGATAGAAACAGCAAAGCTCTCTTGTTAAAGAAGCCAGAGATGTCTGGCACCTTGGTGATTAATGAGAGTTTCCATCAGGTAGTCAGGGAGCAATTTCTAATCACAAAGTGTAGCCGATTGATTATAATTCTGCACTACAGCTTAATTTCTTACTGGGGTGAGGATTCTATTTTGTCATGCTGATTAATAAGTAAAGGATACTCTTCTTCCAACAACATCTTCTCAATGGCAGTCCTGTTTTCTTCACTAATTGTGCTATCAAGACTCCATGGCTAGGAGAAAAGCATAAGTTATGGAACACTTGTTTTATATATTAATGCCAACCCCAACCCCAGAAAAGAGGCTAATACTTCTCATTTTCAGATGCAGAGCTGAACTGAAGAAGTAAATTTTCAAAATCTCCCAGGGAATTTGTGGCAAATAATGAATTTAAAAGATTAACAGAAATCTCAAGTGCACCAAAAATCCAATACTTTTCTTAAAAACTATGATAAAAGAACATGGAAAAGAATTTCAATAAGCACATTGTAAAGAACACAGGCATGACACCTCTTTATAGCTCATGGCTGAAATCTGGAGGTCCATTGTCATGTACAGATCAGCAATACCCCTTGTGCAAGCACTTGAAGATCTGTGTAAAGAAAATCCAGGTTCCAATCAGCTGTTTTACACAGCTAGCTGGGAACAGATCGTTCAAAGACTTCAGCATGTTTCCATGGAACAAGTTGTATTTTTATTATGCCCTTCGAATCCCAACTTATTTTTTGAAGTGATTATGATAGAAAGACCTCTTAAGATGTCTTCAAAAAGTTGGTCGTTCTCTCAGTTAACAGCCCATTTCATAGGACACTTACAAGACCCATATCAGTTCGCCAAGTTGAATCAAGGTAATGATCTTGGAGTAAGCTGGATGAAGGATTTTCATAGCTTCTGAAATGAAATAAAAAAGCCATATACTTTAAAAACTGATCCTCTCAGAAGCTGAAGTTCTACTAGCATTTTAATGCTTGGGAAATGTCACATGTTGCTATGCTTCAAAGCTTTGCACCCAATCCTATACTCCCCTTTTGCTAGTACAAGAAATATTAAATTTGAGGTGTAAAACATTTAAGCAGAGACAATTTTTAAGCTATTATATGATGTATCCATATGATGCTTTACCTCACAATTCTCACAAGTAGGAAATCAAATCCTGAGACTCAGGAAGTGTTTATTTTTTTGAAAAAGTCCTCCCTTTGTCAAATATATGGGAGGGAAAGTGATCTACATTAGAGGAACTAATGTAGAAAGTTAATACTTATTATTGTGGCACCTGCACTACAGACAGATCCATCTAAACTGAAAGGAAGGATACTGATTTAAACGTTTTTGACAGTGCTGTGACTATGCATTGGTGTGTGTCAAAATTAGGAAGGAATAAATCTAAGTCAGCAGTGGCTAACCCACTGCTGTGCTTACACACACTGAAACCCTAACTGAAGTCTACTTTTTGCATTTCATATTCCTCTGATCTTGCTGCTTTAGAAGCCCCTCTCCCACGAATTATGCATGCAAGCAACTGGTGGCACTCAATGCAGCTAATGAAGTGAGACTGAGGTCCATAAGAACTTGTGCTATAATAAATCCATTAAATGTCTTCAAGGTGTCAGAACTCTTGTTTCATTTCTCCTCCAGAAGATTTCCAGGAGAGAAAACCACCCACCAGCTGTCAGGTAGGTCAGGTCAGAACTTACTCCTGTGGAGCTCATTCATGTCATTCTCCTGGACCACCTGCACACTGTTGAGGGGAACATCACAAACCCTACAAGTGTCCCTATTTTCCAGGGACAGTCCTGGAATTACAGAAACCATCCCGGTTTCTGATTTGATCCCGGAATGTCTCAGGTTTTCCTTAGGACATCCTTCTTTTAACCAGAGAAATGTTGGGAGGGCCTGGAATAGGATGTCCCTATTTTAACTGGAGAAATGTTGGAGGACCTGGAATAGGATGTCCCTGTTTTAAACGGAGAAATGTCGGGAGGGTATGACACTTCCTCGCGTGAGGGTGCCAAGCGGACCACTCTCTGTCTTGCCCCCAGAAGAACGGGGAGGCATGCCTTGCTCTGGTAGCATTCACACGAGGAAGCCACTCGGGTGTAGGATACACGTTCTCTTCCTCCTTTAGGTTGACTTAAGGGCCGCGGCTGTGAGGCCAGAGCGAGATCTGAGCACTTCCATAAAGATGCGGGAGGGGAAAGAAACCTCCCTCCCACCACGAAAGGCCCCTGCCAGGCGCTGAGGCGACAGAGACCCCGGTCAGAGCCATGGCCCGCCTGAGGCAGCCGCCGCCAACGAAGGGGCTGCCGTGGGGAGCCTGGCATGAAGCGCGCGGGGCCCGGGCTGAAGGCCCGAAGCCTGCGTCTCCCCGCACTCACCCCGGCTCCGCTTCCCCGGCGCCCCCCGCCGTTGCGTCCCCCTCGACGTCCACGTCGAGCTCCTCCACGGCCTCCATGCCGACACCCGCCCGCAGACGCCGCAGCCGCCGACACCGGAAGCCGCGGGAACAAAACAGGAAACGGGGAGTCCAAGGCCGGCCCAGGGAATGCGTTTCAACCATAGAGAGTTGTGAGCATGCGCCGCACGAAGCTGCGAAGCTGCAGGCGCCCTTCCTTTTGCCCTCAAGCTCTAACGGGGAATCGGCGGGCTTGGGCGAGGGGCTGCGAGGTGGGAATAGGAAGAGAGCTTGGTAGGAAGCGGACCGCGATGGGAAGAGAGAAGAAGCAGGGTAGGAAGACTAGAATAGGGTATGTTCTTGTCTCTATACACACACACACATAGCTGAATGACAAGGGGAAGCTTCCAAAATGAAAACGTAAAAGCGCAGCGTAACCATACAAAAAGCAGAATTTTGCAGGGAAAGTGGGAGTCCTCGGGGAGAAACTAAAACGGGATAAAATGACCTCTTCTGGTTGCAAGCCATGGATGGTGATCAAAAGCAAAGGATAGAAGTTGAAGGAGAGCTCTGGGGAGAAAAGTAACATTCCGGTCCTACTTCAGTTAAAAATACGTCTGTCACACGCCAGTAGCCGCTGCCTATGTTAGGTTACAGTATTGCCCTATTGCTCAGGTATAGGAGATTTGTAAAATGCACACATTTCGCAGATCCTTAACAAGAAATTTCATATTTACGACTAAAGAGAGGACTAAAATAATAAATTTGGGAGTAGCTTTTCGGCTTATCAACTATAAAGTTGTTGAGGCACCAAGAATTGTGTGAGAGCAGACAGCACGTCAGCTGCCTTAAATGGTGTCAGCATGACTCAGCTTTATCGTGATGTAAGCCTCTTCTGAGCTTGTTGAAGGAATAATGGGACCCAAATTCCATAAATAAACAATATAGCAGGAAGAACAGGTACAGCCATCAAATACAAATTTGGTTTTATCTTTTTTTGTAAATTGTTTTGAAGGTTTTTGTTTTTACAATCAAGCAGTGCACTGAAGAAATTTTATGAAATAAGTAATACTCTGGGTGTTTCTCCATTCTGCCATTGCTTAAGATAGTCACTTTCCCCCTTTCAGAGCCCCCACTTCTTCACTTACTTTCCTTCTTCCATTCCTCAGCTACCCTATATGAGAGAGATAATGGATGTGGATCCCATAGAGTGTTTCACTCTTACCATGTATTGCCTTCAACATGAAGTTCCAGATTCAATGCAGTAATTCAGATATTTTATTATCAAGCAAACACCCATATATAAACAACAACCATAAACTTAACCTTATCTAACTGAACAAGCTAACTTACATAACTTCTCTTAAAGTTTTATTTGTTTTAAAGATAAGGTAAAGGTAAAGGGACCCCTGACCGTTAGGTCGTCGCGGATGACTCTGGGGTTGCGGTGCTCATCTCGCTTTACTGGCCGAGGGAGCCTGCATTTGTCGGCAGACAGCTTTCTGGGTCATGTGGCCAGCATGACTAAGCCGCTTCTGGCGAACCAGAGCAGCACATGGAAACGCCATTTACCTTCCCGCTGGAGTGGTACCTATTTATCTACTTGCACTTTGATGTGCTTTCAAACTGCTAGGTTGGCAGGAGCAGGGACTGAGCAACAGGAGCTCACCGCCGACCTTCTGATCAGCAAGCCCTAGGCTCTGTGGGTTAGACTACAGCGCCACCCGTGCCCCAGGTTTTAAAGATACAATAACATATAATCACAAGGGTATGTGTGCAAATGGGACTACAGAATAGGAGACGAAAGGAGACATGGAGCGGGGGCTGTGTGAATGGGGGTGCCAAAATGGAGGGGGAAGCATGGACATAGGGGGAAATGGGTGAAAAGTTGGGCTGCAGAACAGAAGAGAGTAGCTGCTTCAGAAATATAGTTGGGAAAGTGAAATGGAGGTTTAGCAATTGCATGGGGTGAAAAAGGAAAGAAAAAGGGGTTAATGTGGGGGCATTGGGGGTTGCCCAATGGAATGAGCAGGGGGGGCCGAACCATGGGCGTAGCCAAGAGGAGGCAGCTCCCCACTTCCCCCGATCAAGTAAAACAATATAAATACTTAACTAACTGACCAATCACGTCAGTTCTGCCCCTCCAACAATGTCCTATCCTCCCTAACAAAAATCCTGGCTACACCCATGGGCAGAACCCTCCTAGTACAGTAATATCTGTAATCCCAACCACACCCCGACAAGCTTATGTCCAAAGCAGCTAATATCAATTGTAATAAAACAGCACACAACAATAAAACATCAAAACAAATCAGGAACAATAAGAGATAGGCAGGCAATCTAAAACTAAAATTTAATGCTAAGCGGTAATCCAACCAAATAATTTTGAAGAGCAAACAAAAACAACACTGGCAAGGAGGGAGATAGCTTAGTCCCTCCATGGAATGGCATTCCGTGTGCTGGGTGCCATTACAGGAAAAGGTTAACCTTTCCATGACTGTATTTAAGGACTAGCCTAGTACCTGTAGGCAGTATGGAATTGCATGCAGGCAAGTGAGTAGGCTTGAGGAGAAGGAGGGATGAGGGCCCCATTCCTCCTCTGTGCTCAGAATAGAAACCAAGTGCACTGGCAGGTGAGGGAAGCCCTGCCTCTGTAGGAATGCAGAGAGGCTTGCTTCGGGAGGAATGAAACACTTCTGCCAACCGCCTCCAGTGGACGGACTAGTTGTTTTCTTAAGGCTAGGACCTTTTGTGGGCTTGTTTATAGGAACCCTCCCTCCTTTAAGATTTTGATTTAAAATAATAATAATCAAGAGATCCAACCACTGATTTCCTGCATTGACCCTGAAATAGAGCAGCCCAGACACAGGTGAGAACAAGGCACTAGATAGCAATAAGAAACAACTTGTGCTTCTTACGTAATTTCTTCTTAGCACATTTATCTTATCAATAACATTTTCTTTTTCAAAAGAGTAACAATTTGAGCCTGGCTTTCAGTTGGGCTGGATTCTGCTACTTGAAGTGGAGTCTTCTTCAGGCTGTTTGTGGCCTGTAGATTTGCTTTACCCCCCTCAGACCAGCTGACCAGTGCGCTCACACAGTTAAAATGACTGGCTCTGCAAGCACAATGCAATGGTGTGTCCTTATTGTTGTCCAGAGCATTAATGGCTGAACCGTTGCTCAAGAAGAAATGTATTAGGTCGCTGTGTCCGTGTTCTGCTGCAAGATGTAGCGGCGTCTTCCTCCAAATATTTTTGTCATCGATATTTTTATTCTTGCCAGCAGCCAGAAGGGCCTGTAGTATCTCCACATTCCCATTGATGGTGGCATAGTGCATAGATGTGCATCCGTCCATGTCTTTGGCACCAAACCTGGACTTCTTCGCTAACAGCACTTTCACTGTGTTAAGATGACCTCCCATGGCTGCAAGATGAAGCGGGGTCTTTTTCTCCTTGTCTGTTGCATTGGAGTCAGCATTGTAGTTCAGCAGCAGTTCTACCATAGCAAGATTTCCTGCTTCAGCGGCAAGATGCAGAGCTGTCTTTGCCTGCTTATCCTTAACATTGACATTAGCCTTTCGCCGCAGCAGCTTTTGCGCAACTTCCACATGGCCCTTATAACTTGCAACATGCAAGGGAGTGAGCAGTTCTTTAGTGACCGAATCAATTTTCGCACCTACGTCAATTAATAAGTCAACTAGCTCTCCCTTATTGTGCAATGCGGCCACGTGGAGGGGGGTTTGATCTCCCTGCCCGGCAATGTTGGCATCCAATCCTTTGCTCAGGAGCATCTTTGCAATGGAGGAGGCTCCAGCTTGAACTGCCAGATGTAAAGCACTGCTTGAGTTTGGGGTCTTGTCCTTCAGGCTCGCTCCCTTTTCAATGAGAACTTTTGCTGATTCGGTCTTGCCCATCTCGCACGCCACAAGCAGTGGTGTGTACTGCGCTTCGTCGAGGGCATTTTTGTCGGTACCTTTATCAATTAAAGCTGCTACGATGCCATGCAGGTCCTTTTGAATGGCTTTAAAGAGAGCTGACACCATTGTAGCCGGGGACATGCCTTTGGAATAGTCCAGCAATAACTTGAAGAGAGATTGACTGTTGCTGTTAAAGGCTACATCAATGATGCTGGAATCAATGTTGGCTCCAGCTTCCAGGAGAACCTGGACAGTCTTCTCAAACCCTCGAGACACGGCATAGCCCAAAGCGGTCTGTCCTCTCTCATCCTTGGCATCCTTCAAAGCGCCATTCTTTAGGATGGCTTGCACCAGCTCACTGTCATCTCTGAGAGCAGCCATGTGCAGGAAGTTGTGTTGGTTCTTGTGTCGCCTCGCCTCTTCTTTCAGGATGCTCTTCAGAACATGGGTGTGGTGGTTCTGATGGGCCAAATGAAGGGGGCTCTTGCCTTCCTGATCCAAGGTGTACATGTTGGCACCTGATTGGAGCAGCATTTTCACAGCTTCGCCGTGACCTCTCTCAGCAGCTCTGTGTAGCGGGGTTCTTCCTTTCTTATCCTTAACTTCCAGCTTAGCCCCTCTGCCGATTAGATAGTCAATTATTTCTGTATGCCCGTGAGCTGCTGCAATGTGTAGGAGGGTTTCATCTTCAGAGTTTACTGCGTTAATATCATTCTCTTTTAAGATCTTTTCTAAATAGGAAAGATTACCTTTAGCCACAGAATCAAAGATGGAAAGAGAATTGAAAGAATTGTCTTGGGATTTCACAGCAGCTGAATCCTGTTTTACTTTACGTTTGATCTGAGTCAGCTTTTCTGGCTTAGCTAAAACCTGTCTGGGGCTATCCTTCTTTTCTTGGTGAGGATCTTTACCCTTTTGAACCCACCCTTTATCTTTCTCCAGTAGATACCCTATCAGTTGCCTTCTGGCATCACCAATTCTTTCATTCACATTGCTGACATAACTCCTCATGCTGTTATATAGCTGTGGCTCAATCTGTTTCAGACATGGGTAAAAAAAGAGCCTGCAAGCTCGCTCACCTTGAGAAACCAATATATCCAGGACCCGGGAGTTCTTTGCAGTTCTTGTTCTGTAGTAGGATAAGACCATTTTTTTCTCTGGTGTAAAAATGCCATGTTCTATCAGCCAGTTCAGAAGCTGATCAGGGTTCCTTATGCCATCTACAAGTTCGTCCTTTTTAGTTCTCAGTACTTCTGTGGCATAGGGATTTGTGAACATGCCAGCTGAATACATGATGTGTTTAGATTATGCACCCGCAATACATTAAACATGCCTTTGAAGTTCGGCATTTAGCATGAGAAAGTGCAGATTGTTACATAAGTTTGCTCCAGTTTCTGCCAACAAATATTCTGGTGGTCCAACTGGAAATCTCAGCGACAACCACACACACGGGGGGAAAGGGAGAGCATAAACTTTTCACCTTTCGTTGTGCAACGCTGTTGCCTTCCAATTCTCTTTTCTATTCCTTAACAACAGACTGGAGTTGACGAATTGAAACAAAACAAAACTCAGTAAAAATATTCCGGTAAAAATGGTCGCATTGCAAGAACTTGCAAGATAAAATCAGGAGGAAGTTTTCAAAGTTGGTAGCTAAGCTGTTGATGGATAGAAACTTAAAAAAAAAAAATGTATTTGGCATGTGTGACCCATCTGTCAAACATGTCAGAAGAAAAGCAGCAGGCTAGTAACTGTTGCTATGTAATTAGCCTTTGTATAACATTAAGATAAAATTGTATACCCGTCAGTTAGTTACACAGCGGCATATCACACAGTGATCAAAAGCTGCAGGACAAGTAGCTAAGAATGAGTTTAATGTTTCAAAAAAAGTAGATCCCACATTTATTTTATTTATTTAGAAAAATGCATTAGCCGCTTTTTTAAAAAAAGACTATCCTAAGCAATGTACATACAACAATAAAACTTTTCAGACAGCAACATAATGGCATGCTATGAAAGGGCCATATAGGTGAAACATGAAAGAAAATCAAGAAAGAAGACATTTATTTTGCCTTTCGCAACATGTAATAATTTAATCAGTGCTGTGAGCTCATGGTGTTTTGATAAAGGCAAATTCTCATTGAAAACACATCTGTCCTCGAGGTGGAATATTTTAACAACTGAGGAATTTTCATTAAAGCGTTATGGACAAATTATAATGACGGCTTCTAATAAACAGAAGATTAGCAGAACAATCTTACATAGCAATTGCACCAGGAGTGAAGTTGCATCACTTCTATTTTATATTTATGGACATAATCATAGTCTGCCCTCTCACAAAATATCAGGGCAGTGCACAGCAATATAACAAAATATTTTTTTAAAAGCAGTATGGAATAATCATTAAAATAACTGGCTACTCAATAAATAAATAAATAAATGCATATGTCTGTCAGCAGCATTCTGCTAAGCAGGTAGGATGGCTATACATGCTCAGCCCCGGAGTAGAAGAGAAAACACACAAAACAGAAAATTCAAAAATAGCATAAAAGCAGAAGATAGGCCCCTGCATCCGTGAACAAATAGCCAAAATCCACCATACACGAACCATACACAGAGGAAGCCAGTGAACTCACAGTGAAAAGGACATGCTTTTGGGCACAGTGCCATTCTTTTGCATGCTGCGCAGGGGTATATTCTGATACACCCCCACACAACGTATGAAAGAATGCCACCGCACCCAAAACTAAGGTAACCAGACATCCCCATTTCCTAGGGACAGTCCCCAGATTTACAAATCAGTCCCCATACAAAATCCATTGAAGTTGAAAAGTGTCCCCGGATTCATTGGAAAAACATCTGGTAACCTTACCCAAAACCATCAGGCAGCAACGACTTTCCTCCTTCTACCAGCATCCCTCCAGGCAGGGGCTCCATTTTCCTTATGCTGCTCACAAGCAGTGCTGAGGTGGGGGTGGGAACGCCACAGAATGGGATGGCACAACACAGAGTGTCAACTCGGAAAGTCCTCCCCTCCCTTTGATAACTTCACAGATAAGAATTAACAAGCAGTTGATAGATTTATAGTCTTTTTATTACAGCTTCATGTTGCGGTCACAAAATAGGCAGCTCTCTGCAAGGAGGGCAGTTCCTCATTTGTGGAGGAAGTTCCTCAAAGAAAGTGGGATATATATTTTAAAAGAAATGTTCACATAGAACAAATGGGTCTCAATTGTCACACTTTGCAGCCAGTGTTTCCCACTTCCTTTGCTTGCCTGTGTGCGATGTGGTTGTTGGATCGGAGTGGGGGTTATTGTTGGGTTTCGAGGTTCCCCCCTAGAAGTGAGGTTCTCAAGTTCCCCTATAAGTTCTGGAAGCCGGTTGTCTGTGGACGCTTCCAGACTGCCATCACTTTTGGATCTCTCACCCATTAGAATAGATGCCAATTATGCTCTTTCATGAAATAACATGGCCCTTCTTCTTAACCCACTTCCAAGAAGATGGGTACATCGTGGTAAATAGCAACAGCACTACAGGCTTCTCACGCTTAAAAAGTAGGCTTTTTGCAGTAAGAAATGTGATGGGGGGGGGAAGCAGTAGAAAGTGTGGGATAATTCCCACTTGATGGCAGTGTTGTATAACCTCTGCAGAAATGTCGTACAAACCAATGAGACCAAATGCCCAACAAACAGGTCTCTGGAAACCACTCCTGTGTCTGCAAATCCCCCCACCTCTTTCCCGGTTTCCCCACCTGGCCTTTGGGAGCTCTAGGCATGGGGCAAGTGGGGACGTGCCTTCAGCTGCAGTCTCCCTATGTAGGATTTATTTACCTGGTGTGCTGCGATTGGGTGATGAGTTACACCATATCCTATGCCTGGCCCAGCAAAGTGAGCAGGATGGTCATTGACACAAGGAGGTTTTCTTTTCCCCTTTTATCTTTTTAAAGAATTTCTCTCCCACTGGCGTCAGCAGGAGGGAAACTCTTTGCATCTTTGACTGTTTATGACATGGTCACTGGAGCCTAGAGGAGTATAGCATATCATGTAACTGTGCACTTCTCTGGGCCACCCCATCCTGACTCCACCCCGCCCACAGGCAGATCTTCACTGGCAGAAAACCTACACAAGCCCCACTATTCTGCTGATGTCAGATTTCATCAGCGTATCTGTCATGTCTGCACCATCCCTGGCATTCTGCTTATGGTGCTGAGTTTCTGTCAAATCCTCAGCCACCAATGGTCAAATACTGGACTGTGTCCTGAATATAGTTTTTCCTAGAACAATCATAGGCAGATAGTAGAAAATTGGTGGGTTTTTTGGAAAAATTGATTGAATAACTAAAGGAGAGTAAGTGGCTAAATGGGATCCAGAACAATCTTAGAGCATTTTTGTATTTCTTCCTATAGAGTCAGTGTAGCATAATGGTTAGAGTATTGGGCTATGACCTGGAAGACCAGGGTTTGAATCCCCACAGGGATGAATAAAGATAGGATATAAATGGAATAATAAATACATACAAATAAATAAAAGTGTCTTTTGGTCTGGAATGTGCAGCTTGTGTTAAAGTAGGATTGAAACCGGAACGAATGCTTTGAATAATTTCTAGCCAAAGAAAGTTTTGCATATTAATTAGAGAGTTGGGAAATGCAAAGCAAAATAAAACAGAACTGTGTAAATGCTGTTGGGATCAGGTAGGATCTGTATTCCTGGAATCTTAGGGATTTGCAGTAAGCAGCACCTTTAAGGGAAAAGTGTGTGTGTGCGCGCGCGTGTGATTTTTGGCTGGGAAAGCACTTGGAGAGGAAAGTAGTAACCTCGCTGCCAATGGGCCCAAATGGCTGTTGTAGTTTTTGAAAAGGAAATGGCCAGTTTTGTGCACACTTTAGAAGAATGCATACTTAACGTAATGTATCGTTTGACCCGAAGACGTGGTGGCCCATCTATAGGTGGTGAATTGAACAAGTTAAATGTGGTAGATAAAGCAGAGAGGCCCAGTGGGGTAGATTTTCATGCTCAGAGAAGGAGCATTTGCTTTGTATGCAGAAGGTCCCAGTTTCAATACCTAGCATCTCCAGGAGGGCTGGGAATGTCTCCTGCCTGAACCTCTGGGGAACCACTGGCAGTCATTGTAGACAGTATTGAGCTATATTGACCAATGATGTGATTCAGGGTAAGTCTAATTCCTGTACTCCTAATCCTCTGGCTTTAGTGGTCATTGCAATGATGGAATCAAGGCACTTTGCATCATCTGCCCCAACCATGTTATAAGTTTTATGGCTTCCCTGTGAACCACTAGCATAAGGGAGCATGGGGGGGGGAGAGAGAGAGCTTTGGTGATGCTCACATGAACATTTAACATTTGAATGCACTCTCTATTTGGTCCTTTGTATTGGAGTGAAATGTAACCGCCAAACCATGCCAAGGCGTTTTGTTTGTATAATCTAGCAATTCTGGTCCAATAACTGGGCCAGTAAGTCAAGTTAATCTTCACTTGAAAGAGGGAGATGAGTGTTTTTCAACTAATTGTTTAGTCTTTATATCTGGCTTTGAAGCTCTGCATGCTTTGAAGCTGTATGGTTTCCTGGCTTTCCCAAGATGAAGATGTTTCTTAATTAATAAAAGAGTCAGTTTTCAAAAACAACATCCTTTGTCAACATGAAATGTGTTTGACATCCTTTATTTACATTTTTCCCATATAAAGGAGAGCAAATAAAACCCTCCTCTTAGATTAATATTATATCAGACGCTTGCCAAATACAGTTTTGACTTCTTTACAAAATCCAGAAGAGGTCACTGTTTCTCTTTTGAGTGTTTTCAACAGCCGCAGTTGGCAGAAGGTCCTCTTTAAACTAATTAAGAGACCTGGAACCTGTTAAAACGGGTTGAATGTAACTGAATGGTTTCCAATGCCTTCTTTACATTCTCTAGGGTGTTTGGCCTGACATAACAGCTGGAATAAATAAACATAAATATATCAGTAGTGAGTGAAGTTGTGTTATTAATGTTTCCCAGCATGCATTTTAATTTCAGATTCAGCCATTGAAGCACAGCGCTTATCTATAATGCAACCAAGCTCTTTATTGAAAACATTCAATAACTTTATTTTTCCTCTTCTTTTTTACAAGCTAGGCAGTGGCCTGTTCTGGAACGACGATGTCAAATGTTTTCATTTTACTTGGTGGCATTATGAACAAGTGCTTTGCCTCAACATAGTGACCCAAACTATTGCAGAAAATGACATTAAGAGTTTTATGAAGGAGTTTAACAAAGACTATAAGGGTGGCACTGTGGTCTAAACCACTGTGCTTCTTGAGCTTGCCGATTGGGAGGTCTGCCATTCGAATCCACCCAATGGGGTGAGCTCCCGTTGCTCTGTCCCAACTTCTGCCAACCTAGCAGTTTGAAAGCATGCCAGTGCAAGTAGGTAAATAGGTACCACAGTGATGGGAAGGTAAACGGCATTCCTGTGTGCTCTGGTTTCCATCATGGCGTCCCGTTGCACCAGAAGTGGTTTAGTCATGCTGGCCACATGACCCGGAAAGCAACAGCTCTCTTGGC